CCTTAAAAGATTGCCTTCTCCTTTGACTAGTCATTTTACTAACTTTCGCCCGTTCTTTAATTTGTAGGGCGCTCAAGTTTTCTATGCTCGTATTTTACAACAAAACACGCTTAGCTAGTTTGCCATTAGTCAAATTATTTCTTTGTTTGCCACATTTTTCGGCTTACCTCTACTGTTGCACTTTGACACGAATGCCTTTTATATGATAGTAACGCCCAGGTGCCAGTTATAATAATACGACATCAACATGCCTACGTATCCTAAAGGTCTTAAATTGGCTACTGCGTGAGCGTTAGCTAAACCTAAGTTTTACAATTTATTTTTTGTTTGAGAATATTCATAATTTAGTAATGAAGTTGTAAAATTTAAGTGCTGTGCTATTTTCATACAACGTTATTAAAATTCTTGGCATCGATACTATCCCTCAACAGGAACTGTTGTGGTATGAACAAAAACCTGTCTTGAATGTACCACAAAAAATGTAATCATATTCACTCTAACCGAAAGTAACCGCACTGCAAGTGCTTATCAAAAAACATAACCTATTTTATCTGATTCCCCAACTTGCTAGAGTAGGTTTACATTCAATGTACACTGTAAAAACAAAACAAAAAAAACAACAATGCCCGTGATGCACGCCACTATGCCGTTGACAAATATTTGTTGGATAAGTAAACAAAAATAACCGTTGCAATTCTATTGTGCACAGATTTTTACATCTGGGCCAACTCTGTGAATATGCGCAGGGAAAACTCATTGCTTAGATAAAAGCCACTTCATTTTAGTGATGTTTTCACCACGTTCACCATTGCTGATATGCCCCTGTGAGGTTCACCTAGTAAAAGGCTCGTTTTACATTTCAAGTATACGTAATGCTTAACTGTATCCTTGTTCCCCGGGTAAAACCCGACGTTTAAGCATAGGCAACATAGATATATGTCAAGGTTTGACATGAAAGCAATGGTTTTGTCGTTACCGTTCATTTTATTCGAAACACCCGTAGCGAAACTTGAGTAAATGATGGGTATCTTTGCAAACATGTCATATGTTCAACGTTAGTTGCTAAATTACGCTATTCGTGAGCGCATCCCGTAAACGACATTCGGAGACCTTATAGTTCGCAACCTAGCTTGGAAAAGCGATCAATTACTTGCTTACAATGTTACTTTGTTTTTCAAAATAAGTCGAAAATCTTTACTGTGACCCGAAGTATCGCACGGTAGAGCGAATGGAGATGTTTTTATCTTCAAGACATATCTGATATTTATGGGTAGACAGGTACAAATATATTAATATTAAAATATTAACGCTACTCAAGATTCTGTTGAAAAGATACTTATAGCGCTGAAAACGACCGTTTCTGGTATCTGGGCATAAATTAGATTGAAGCTAACAAAACTGCGCCAATTTTACGTGAGTTTCGATTAACGACTGTCGCTTCATTTTACTGTCCAACTATCACCAATTCAAACACAGTCATTGCGTTTAACACTCGATTTGGTTTAAGCCTCATTTAATTGTTAAGTTTTCAATCAGTTCAATGCGAAGAGACCGGCTGAAAATGCAGATCCATTGTGCTTCAGCATAAAATGTAAACCGTATTCTTTTCGTAGAGACAACAAACCTTTGTCGAACTTTCAGGAACCACTACAAAACCATACTGTGTAGACGGGCAAAGTAAACATTTCTTCAACTCGGTCTGACGTCGAACGTAAATCAAAAGCAGTCTGTGTACGCGTAAGTGCTTGCGCTCATATAGAAAAGTTTCATTTGACCTAGTTGCAAGAAACGCGTTGGCCATTTGTTTGCCTTCACCGCTCGCCTCGTTCTATCTACAAGATTTTCTCTAAATTGCAATCAACGTAGAAGCACCTTCGCGGTTCACTTTCTGTGCCTATTACTATCATTACTCTTTCTGGAGAAGTGGAGCTGAAGGCGGCTGCGGCAGTAGCTGCAGCGACAGCAAGAACAGTGGCTATGATAGGACAAAATGCGCAAAAACTTGTTAACACTTCCTATATGCAAATCCTCCGGTCACTTGATCTTTAAACAGCCAGTCCTTGTGGAAAAGCGGTCGTTACCGGACTAGCTGGCCTAACCTCTTTGATAATGAATCTACAGTTCCCGCTCCACATGTAAGGTCCCACAACGGCTGGAAGCAGCCATTTTTGTGGAAGCCTATTGCTTCTGCTGCCCTCGCTGTCGCTTCCTGCCTACCCAGCATAAGCCATCCGTCAGAATATGCCCAAGAGGACCACCAATAGCTTATACACACTGCGTGGCACGTGCCACTCAACATGGCAGTAGGTCTATCATTGTTGTTGCAGTGGCTCTTGGGAAAGCAAAAACAGAACATTACGGTGCTGAAGCGTTATACTCCTCGGACACCCCTTCCCTAGAAGGAGAACGAGCATGTTTGTGATCCTTGAGTCTCTACGCTGATGTTTCTCCCGCTGTTATAAGCGTACTAATGGACTTTATACAGATAGTCATTTATAAAACAGAAATATCTGCATGGTACTGCACGTTGCTTACATCGATATATATAATACGCCAATGGAAAGCTTTGTTTCATTCAAAATGCAGCAGACAAAGGTTATCCACTCTGTGGTGTGCTCACCGGAATTAGCCTCAGATACGTAATCCCGATCTGCATTCGTTAATTAGACATATGATCTAATTTGACAGTTATTATTTCCCTCGAAAAGCAATACGGTCGGTCGGTTACGGTTGATTTTCAGTCAAGAGCTCGTACTTCCTGATTCATTTTCTCGGGTTTACACCAAGGCCCGTAAAGCCCAGGCGCCGATTTGAAACAAATACTTTAGACCTGGGAATTAGTGGACAGGACAAAACGCTCTGCATCCATTTACTCCAGGATTATATATCGTTGTATAGCCGTATATCAGTTTATTCACAAAATGTCATATTATACTGCTCCGTTTTGTATTTATACACAGAATACGCAGTGCACATCGCTTTACGTAAAGGTTTATTGATACCGACGAATGTATACGATAGGACTGGCTTAACCACGTTGAGCACACACCAATTTTTTTTAACACAGTGGAGCCCCGATAAACTGAACTAACTTTGTTACAATAGTAATTTTAGAAGGCCGTCGGCAATTTCGCTCTCGGCAAAATATAATTCACTTGCATGGGTTGCGTGAGCACTTTACCAGCATGTATCCTGGAAAAGTTTGAAACAGATTTTAGATCTGAATTTTTTCATCTTCGAGATCATGGGACTCTAATGCTACAGAGTATGCTTGCTAAACAAGAGATACGTCTTTTTCAGACGCTAAGAATGTCGCCGTGAGCAATCGCCACATTCTCTTTTCTCGCAAATGGCTCCGCGCGTGTCTCCAACAGGTTTCTCCGATTCATCTTTCATTCAGTCCTCTTTTTCAACCTCGAAACTGAGCAAACATGTATTTACAATAGTCGGACTAACTGGTGAGAGAAGTGATTTGTGATCTGAAAACAGTAATACCTTTTCTACTAGGAAGAGAAGATCTGAGAGGAACAACTTCGACAGAAAAGAGTAGTGCTTCCGGCAAAAGACAACATCGAAAATAAAAAAACCATAAAATAGCTTCGTCCTACAAAAGAACGTCGTACGGTGCGCAGCTACGCACAATGAACAGCTGCATTTGGTCCCACGAAATCACAGAGCAACCGAAATAAAGATGCGTTCCTCATATAATCGTTCCTTCTAATATGCCAAGCACAGAACAAGCTTGCCAAACGTGCAATCATTTTAACCTTTTATAGCAAACGCCGCCGAAAATATCCTTGCATTTCAATTGTTTGTGAAACTACCTTAATAAAAATAATAAATCTAGTCGGCTAGGACATTCGTTCTACTCCTAGCGTTTAGTCTTATACGACATCAAAACGCATTGAAGTTTATGTTTAATGGAAAATCGAGTTCTGCTAATTGTCATATAAAGAAATGTAAACGCTTACCTATTATGGCACCAGACATTACTAGTCAAGATACGAATAGAGACACCAAGAAGCTTCAGACACCTAAATGCTTAAATAAATTTAGAGATTATTGAACAGAACCGTCAAAAGCAATAGTGTGGGTGTAATTACAATGAAGACACTTTAGTTAAAAAGCATGCAAGACCTAGAGTGACGTGAAAAAACGACGTTGATTAAAGCATTCATCGTGTCGCGAACGCGCTTTGGGGAAGCCAATAACAATACCGACCCTAGTTTAACAATAGACGTTCATGTATCAACGTCAAACGTGTCAACGGCTGCGCTACGGGGTTAGGCTGTCCTATTTAGCACGTCCATATCCAACTAAGACTAAAGGTTCTTGGGGTTAGGCTGTCCTATTTAGCACGTCCATATCCAACTAAGACTAAAGGTTCTTAGGTTTTATTTGGTTCCCGGTTTCCTTTGTCAATTATATTATCCTTACAATGGACAAGGTATGGCAACATTTATTAAATCTGTTACATTTACCAGCAGACTTCATATTTTGTATGGAAAAAACTACCTATATATATATATATATATATATACATACAAATTCCTTAGAAACGACATTGCTACGTGCGTGCTAGCCTTTATATTGTGTATTACGCTTTTTGACTATATTGCTATATAGGAGTCTGCTTCCATTTGGATTTAAAATTCTAGCCTGCATACAATTGCTATGGAGGTAGTAACCTTATCCAGGGTGGCTAATGCCTTAAGGTTCCCTTAGTACGTTGCTATAATAGCCAACAAGGTCCGCCCATCGCTGGTTTAAATTTTCGCGTTAGCAAATAGTTACTGTTTTATAGGTCTATTAGAGAAATCCTAAATAAATCAAGAAAATTGACTCCGGCTAGATCTTCTAATAGAGAAAAGTCCTTGATGCTATACCGAAAAGTAATTTCGAGAAGTTCTTCATACAGAGGGAACAATCGAAGGCGTTAAAAAAATAAAGCGTACATTTCAGTATACACACACTATGATAATTTTAATAAAGACAGAGTACACCTTTGGAGAGCATCATCGAACAATCTTCTCCGGCTTTATTCCTCTGTTAACGAGATACGAAGAGACACTTTATGTACATTACAACGATCATAATGTAGGTATGCGTTTTTGAGTGTTGATGAACTTTTATTCCTTTCTTGACTACCGATCATTTTATTTATGTTATATTTCTGCAATCAAATAGCATGATGTAGCAACAAAAGGAAAAATTCAACTAAAAGTGAAATTACTATCTAAAGGACTAATTCAATGACGAATTCTCTGCCTAAACCAATGCATATAGAAGTAGAAGATTGGAAATTCCCATCGGATAATCAAAAATTCAGATTAACACCGAAAATGTTCTGCTCTGTTATCGTTCGCATTGAAATGAATCAACATGATTTTCCTTATTATGCAAACTTCACTAAAAAATGTGATAGATACAAAATGAAAACCCGCAGCTGCAGCATGAGTCTGCACGTCACACGCCGACGCCTCGTGAATAGCTCAAACTCACTGACCATAGCAGTCGCTCTACCACCAAATAAAACTCTGACGTGTCACATGCTCAAGACAAGTTTGTACATATTCAAAAACAAGAAAAATAGTTATGTTTGTATTTGTGGGTATTCTTGTGCATGGATGTATGACTCGTGTGTTATTACAGATAACTTGTAATGTCAGAACGATTAGCCAAACAACCATAGTTTTTTTTTTTCTAAGTGGTGTTTCTTAACGTATATAAAGATGGCGGCTGGACTTCCGTGTTTTAACTAATCGAAGAGAGTTTCAGACTTTTATCTTTTTTGCTGGTGATTTACTCGCCAAGCCATTGTGCTTGAACGGAGTTCCCTTACGAGGTGACTTTTTTTGCATGGGCTCTTTTGAGAGAGTCCTTTGTGGTGTCTTCATAGACACCTGAAATTCAACAATGGAAAAGATTAGCCATTTAGTAATAACGAACCTGTACTTCTACTCATTATATAGGTAATAACCTAATAGTTTACATCTGCTAAAATTATTGTAATTTTAGGTATCAATTTTTTTTCTCAGCTTTACCATTATAACTATTTAGGTATTATTAGCAGTGGAATTTATAAAGTACCTTTTTCATGCTCTTTTTTTTGGGCACCGGTGGCGCCTCTTCTACATCATCACCGTCGTTGTCTTCCTCATTTTCGCTTTCTTCGTCATCGGTGTCCTGCGGTGCTGAGCGCTTCAGTTTCTTATTGGTACCTTCAATACTAGTCTGCTTAACCGCGGACTTCTTCGGCGGCTTTTGGGGGTTACTCGTTTCAACCTCAACCGAATCACCTCCGTCATTTCCATCTTCATCATCATTTTCATCATCTAGGTCATCCTGGGCCTCGGCAACTCGAGCCTTGGCCCGGGCCTTCCGTTCTTTTACTTCTTTTTTAATGGCCTGTTTGCGATCCTTTTTCCTCTCGTGTTGCTTGACGTTGTGCGAGATGTTCAGGTAGAATATAGCGCAGATCGCCTCGTTCAACGTCACAGTCTGGTGAGAGGCAAGAACCTTTTTGGCATCAGCTGAAGCTGCAGTCAAGAAAAAAATGTTCATCAAAATACTGCCCAAAACTATCAAACGCTGTCACTGGACCTCAATGCACGGGTCAGAGGAATTCAAGGACAGATCCGTGCAACTTAAATAATTATAGACCATCACAACATTATAGCTGAATGATTTTTAGTTTGATTTCCAGCCTTAAAGACTCACTGAATCCTAGGAACAGTTACAAACAATGACGTGTAGAAATGATAGCAGAGGCAATAGCGTAGTAATAAGTAAGGAACCAGGTTACACTTACTTCGATAGATTGCGACAGCTTCGATGGCGTGACCCTTGTCTCGTTCACTTAGAAGAACATCTACACATCCCATTTTCTTCTGGATTTCCTCCTTTGATACGTGCTTAGGGCACCCGTAAATTTTCAGCTTGCGCCGGTCGACAAGTCCCGGTGGATGACACTGGCCATTGCCGTTTTCACTGACGAGAACCTCCTGGCCACGGATTTTTACTGGACCTTTGGAGTTAATCTCTTTGAGAGCGCGGTCTGCTGTTTCTTTATTTGGAAAGTTAAGGAAAGCGAATGTTCTGGGAAGACCTTTGCGGGTAACAGGACGGCGGACGACGCGAATTGCCGGGTGCAATTTCTTCAGCTCTTCTTCAGTAGCATCTTCAGGCAACTTGCCTACAAAAATTGATGTGGCAGACATTGCACGGAAGTTGTCGGCAAACCTGACGCAAAATACCAAAGTCAAAAAATAGACCGCTCGTTTTTCATTCGAATTAAGAAAAAAACTATACAGGTAAAATGGTGCCTTAACATAGGCATACATGAAAAGTCTCGCGACCCTCGAGTTTTTCGCTATCCCTACTGCAGACAAACTAAAATGGCACCTGTGACCTGCAGCCTGCAACTGTTCCACTATTGACCAATTGTATTTTACTTCTGTAAAAATAGGTTAATCATATTTCTAATGAAGGTAACATTGAATAGCGACCAATTATAACACAGCCGTCAGCTTATGATCAACCAAATTTGCATTGCGTTTTACGTAAAAAAGCAAACGTCCTCTTTAGCAAATAAATATTTCACGAATCGGCTCCATCTTTGATGCAGATATTTCCAGGATAAATCTCTAGCGGCTCGTAAAAAAAATCAGCCCGATCCGTGGGGTCGTTTGGGGTCGGATAAACTTACGAACTGAAGACTTAATAGTAGGGCATAGATAGATACATAACTGACATATAATTTTTTACACACTTACATTTTAGTTTCTACTTCGGTCAGTGGCCCGACAGCAGCGGCTCGATCTTCTACGGGCTGTTTGTCTTTTTCCTTCTTAAGCAAATCAGTGGCTTCCTTGGACTTTTTTGCTTCTTTATTTTTCTCGTCAACTTTGTTCCCGTCCTTCTTTTTACCGGGTTTGTCCTTCTCGTGTTTTAAATCCTCTTGCTTTGGAGTTTTAGCCTTAGCTTTGGCTTTGCCGGCCCCATTGAGCTTCTGCTTTTTCGGCACCGGCTGTTCGTCAACCCCGTCATCTGATTCATCCTCATCGTCAAGGCTAACATCTTCGTCTATCTCATCGAGATCCTCATCAAAATCTGCGCCGTCATCATCATCATCATCTGTATCATCACCATCTTCTTCGCAATCATCATCGTCATCATCATCATCATTTGACGGTTCAGCTAAGGGTAGGTTCTGAAGTTGAACAAAATAGGCGACGTATTTGCGTTTGTAAGAGTTCAATTATTATATTGAATGCGTCTACGAATACCTTACAATATAAAATATAAGTATTTATAAATTGTTGTCATTATTATGGCTGATACAGCTTAACTCCTGAATTGAAACGTCAGGATTGTTTGGCTCAAGCCTTGTGTTTGATATATACTACTACTTACTGCATAATAAAAATAATACTCCAAAATAATTGACATTATTATGATAACAATCACAACTAGCTGAAACCAAAAGTAACACTCATATGTATCACCCAATCATTCGGCTTCGACACGAACTTAAAGCCCTCCATGTCATAGTAAAAGATCAAGAACTTGCTCACTCATAGAGCTGAAGTCCTTACATATCCTGTTCGGCAATGCTGAACATTCTGCTTTGTGTAATGCATAATGATTCGTATTGCACACACATGTTATTGCAGTAAAGGGCGTTACAGTGTTTTGTTCACTAGTGGTTCTAATGTAGAGACAAAAACAGTGAATACTTGAAGCTCTGCCTACTAGTCATGCGTTTTCAATATTCAACCGTTAGCGTCATTCTCTACAAAGCATTCAAAACTATCATACTCTAGAAAACCTAAATATAAATCGATCCCATTGTGTGTCCCGTACATCTTTAGTGATCAAAACAGCTTAATCTATATGATTTTTGTAATTCAAGATGATGATATCTACGCTAGATTTCACTGGCAGACTCGAACGACTCCAAAAAGTCAACCAATTATCAGATTTACGATTATCAATAACACGAAAACAGATTAATTATATCCTACTTTAACTATCTGTATAACCAAAATAGTACATGTTCTAAAATATATACCCTGATATATCGCCAATCAGCATAGCGTTACTCATCAGAAAATTTATATGAAATCGCTATTCGTAACGATATGGTATGGCACGGGATGACTTCGGTAGTAATTACATGAACTGGAATATGAAATTTTATAGTTCAATCAGACCACCCCAGCAACAGCGAAGTCAACTGTTTGTTCTCCCGTAGTTGCTTCCCGATTAGGGGCATATTATGTATACACAAAAAACTTCTGAGTATACGCAATCTCCAATCAAATGATTAAGTCAAATGTAAGTAGGCCTCAAATTTATTCGTAGCTATACGTTACAATTTTTTTTTATTTTTTACGTAATTCCACTGCGATCTAAGTGATACAGGAGGAAAAAAAAGCCATACAAACAAGTCAAATTGATTTTTGTAGCACTAGTGACGGACGCCGTTGGCCACCGCGTGCGCGAGCGACACATGGTCGTGGCGTCCGGCGAACAATAACAGCCTAGAAGCAATCAAATCAGAAATAAAAGCATCAAGCAACACCGCGAGCACCCTAGCTGAAGCGCCTGCGGTATAAGCTGTTATTACAAGCGAAAAAAATAGTTTTTATTTAGTTATTTGGGTACTATGTCGAAATCATAAGTATAACTAACCTTGCTGCGGGGTCCTCCCTTCACCTGTGGGATAGGCTTTTTTTTTGAGATCGCTGGGCTGAACAAAGGCATTTTCTTACGATTGCCCAAATTGCAGGTTCTGTGGCAGTTTACACTGCGATACGATTAATATCCCACTCTAGTCAACAAATAAGAAAGACACCCGCCAGAAAACCAAAGAAGCGGCCGTGGTGGCACTGTAATACTAGTAGAACAGCACGGGCCGTTCCTCGCGGTGTGAATAGATCACAACAAACAGACGAATTCCAGATGAAGAGAAGCGTGCATTTGAACCATCAGCAGCTAGCAGGAAGAAAGACAAGATGGACTCGTTTCAACAACAGCATTACTGGAAGCGTCCCAGGAAGCAGACGATATAGATCGCAGCGCCGCCAAGCCGGTACATCACAAACATGTATGATGATATCAAAAACAATATTAATAAATGAACTCACGCGGTACAGAATCCTGTCTCTGCTCATGATAGTATGAAACGGCGTGCTTCCATACATGCATAATATATATAGCATATCAAATTTGTTTTATAGGTCGGCTAATTTCCACACGACATTGAAATTTACCATAGTAACATGATAAACAATTACCTGACTTGATAAGAATATTATATATATATATTCTTTGCACGAATACCCTTTACACACACAATCTTGGGAGTGGGATAATCTTGAAAATGGCTAAATTTTGCTCACTGTGCTGCGTTTAATTTGTTTGACGAGAAAATCTTATAACTGAAAAAACACCATTACATGCTACCATAGGTCCTAAGAATAGTTGTTAGCATAAATGATCATAACCGTTCTTAGATCCTATAGTATGAACGCACCACGATTTATACTACATAGTGGCAAATAAGCACGTACGAGCGGCCAAGTTATTTGTCATCGATGGCAAGTCTAATGGCTAACATATATGTCAAGTATAAAAAGCCACTACCTTCAGGATAACAAAACAATCTGGATTTACGGTGATTCTCCAATATTCGCAGGTTTATTTATTACACGAGTACCCGTTCAACATAGTTCATTGCAATAATGGCATAAAAAATCATACACACATACAACGACACCAGTTTGCTCGTTTAATTGAAAAATTGGTGAAGCACCATGCTAAGTATCATCAAAACTCATTATGTAGTTTTTTTCTATCCTAAACTGTGACACGAAATAGTAAAGACGCTTTTACGTGTGGACCGCCAAATGCTTAGGAACCAATTTTGGCGGTATGTAGAATTTCCGGCCGAATGTGTCTGATGTACTATTCGCAGAGCTAATAATTTGTGTGTGATGATTGAACTTCGAAGAAAAGATTCTCTGACACGTCGAGGATACTTTAATCGTTGTATTTGGGCTCAATACTACCTTCTTGGTTGACCCTCAGAGCGAAATACCTCACAACTTCCGACTTGAGACTGTCTTTTTACACTACTGCGAAGTAAAGGGTGAGGTCATCGCTCTTTAGGTTCCACATACATACCTCAGGGTGTGTCTTTTTCTGTCCCTACTGTGATTTCCTTTCCTGTTGAAATGTTCACATTGTCAACACTAATTAAGGGCCCAAAAAGTAGCTAAACCGAAACTGTGTTTATAACATTTTTCAATATTGTAGTAACAAACATTATGTCATAGTAAAATTTTAACTCTTGTTGTTATAAAGAGGTTTTTGAACATTGCTTATGCGATCATTGCAAAGTTATATTATTTGCTCTGCAAAATAATCTACACAGTAGCAATATTGAATTTCATTAAAAGAACGCGGTACATATGAGACCACACTGGGTTACAACATCGTTGATTATAAAACTCAAGGCCATCTATCGAAAGGCATTGCATCAGTAATTAAGTACTGTAGTGCATTGTAGGATTATTATGAGTTAAACAGCACTTATCTACTAAAAAACCTTGAACTATTGTCGATCTTTTTACTTCACTCAGATTCAAAGCTCGCTCAATTTTAGAGTCCATATGTCGACTACCAACCAATGACCCAATGTAAAAAAGCCCCCAAAGCAACAAATGTCAGTCATACAGTTCAAAGAAAGTGTCGACTCTCTACAACTAAGCTGTATTCAAAGATGGTTTTAAACTTGACGCTTAAGCTCCGATTCTTAACATTCATCTTCAGAAAAAGAACTCCCTAGAACAAACATTTTGCATCAAGACAATATAAAAACATATTTTTAAACACAATTAGTTTTCAACAATATGTTTATAAAATTTTTAGAGCTTGTTTTTACCTAACTAAAAGTCACTGCTTGTTACAGAAAAATGATTTCACACATATTATTTCCTAAACAAAGGCATATTCTACTACGCAACAAATGTTATATATAACAAAATGTATAAAAGACGAGTTCTATATTTTTTTTAATTGTGCTTGTCCATATTGACAAGAAATTGCGATAGTCAAGATGAACCCATATAACTCAACTTGATTAATTTTCCTCACATAAATAATGATCAGTTCTACATAGGATTAGTAGTTTCATAATATATTCTGCATCATTCATTTTACCAGTGGCCGCCAAATGCAATAGTAGACAAACACATACGTATATGTATTTGCCGCTAAATTGCTCGTATATTATATAGCGCTCTTCATCCGAGTATTTTCACATCATTCATACATACCTTCATTGTATTTTGGAAAACACTGATATCACAAACAAAGTAAAGACCACTCGTAATCGCCAGCCATAGTATCAAACATTCATTTAAACCAGTTTCTTTGTGGCTGTTGCAATCACTGCATTTGCCCCATCGCTTTGCAAGCGCATGACGTTTGGAAACTATTTTCTTATTTGAAACTTCCTGGATTTATATTGCAAAATTCCTACATCGATGTATCTCTTTCGTGCTATTTTCCGGTCGAGGTCGTTTCTTCTATACCCCTACAGGAAATTCTTTTCAGTGCTACTCTCTACAACGGTCTCATACAGGAGTTTATGTTTGTATTCTATTTTCTGAGTTGTTTTCACCTATGTATTTATATTATTGTTCAGTTAATCTTAACTACTTGGACTTCCAGTGGCAAAGATTCTTTCATATAACGTTCCTTCTCTGCCCCCTTCATTTTTGAAAGATTCTCCTGTGCTCATACAAGAGCTATAGGATGCACGTTATTCAGTCATACATTGCATATAAAGCAAGTAATTTGAGTCATTCTCTGTTTGATGCAGCTTTTTGCATCTTTTTTTATGTTTCGAATCGATATATTTGATACACTTTGTTTCATTCGCCTAAATGCAATTTTAGTGTGCTAGCTAGCCTCATCTTCTTCCCAACTCCATTTGATCGTTGAAACGGCAGTGGCGCCGTCGCCAGTGGAATTATTTTCTGACGAAAATAAAAACGGCTCACCCTCTCGTACCGGACTTTGCTGTTTCGCCTGATTTAAAATACGTAACGGACAAAAGAAAATTTGAAAGAGACATGCAACAACTATTAAGAACTTCATATTTATGCACACTTGCTTTAAAATGCGGAACAAACTGCCCTCTACAAAACTAAACAGTTGCTTTCTTGATCTAATCACATCCGCCAAATACGAAATAAGTAGTCGCTTATTGTATATTTTCCGCTTAATATATGTGAGTTCAAAAATATAAGCCAGAATTTAAACATTATTTAAATTACGCTTAACTGTATACGAAAGCCATTTAGTCTAAACATATACTATTGGAGATTGCTTCAATGTTTAGGAGTTATTTTCCTCCTAGATCAAGGCCCGTAACTCTATGAGATAGGAGTAGATTCAGCATTCAGGGCTGATACAATAAGCTACACAAACGCATTTTCCATACCTCTTGTATACTTTTGATGTCTTTCGGTGGGGGAATAAACCGCCACAGCGACGAATACCGTTTCACTTGTTTAAGATATGGATGCCGTGAAAGCTGAACACAGTTCGGTCTGCAAATTTGTTTCATATTATTATTATTATTATGAGTCTTTGCAATTATCTCTCACCGTTAACTTTGTTCCAGTGCCCTTCGATCATCTTACCTGGCATCGGGATCGTAGTTCAAACATCGGTTGGTGAAATCTGTAAAAGACTCTTTGAAACGCTTGGAAGCGTTTAGCGATGGTACGATATCGCGCAGTTTAAACAAGAGAGCTTTCTCGGGTGGTAAACCGGCAAATGGAGCTCTTCCGTTGGCCAACTCAAGTGCTAAAATCCCCACGCTATATAGATCTGCAGCTCGTCCGTAACCGCGTAAATCTTGAGCTAGCACTTCTGGCGCCAGCCATGGTAGATTGTGCAGTGCATGTCGTGAAGGAAAGTCATGGCACCGCTCACCGCGATAACCCGATACGGCAATGCAGTGCCTCATACCTAGACAAGACAGGGTATAAACATCAAAAACGTCAATCAATTTTGGTATCAACTTTGCGTCTCATAACTTATCTCTTTATGACAAATGCTGTCACCAGTTTGAAGAATAGAGCTGAACGTTTACAGTCAGAAGGTCCTCATGACCACACCTCATGATTCTATCAAAGGAACCGTTCGTGCCCTTACCCGTAATGCATACGCGACCCCGGTCGTCACAGAGGAGGTGTGCCGCGCTGAGTGCTCGATGAACAAGTCCGCAGCTGTGCAAGTACGTCAGCCCAATCAGACATTCGCGAAGTGCGAAGGCTACTGCATGTTCGGGCAATCCAGTGGGAAAACCACCTTCCAGCAAGCGGAATAATGAAAGTGATGAGCACAGACGCTGGACGAGAACAAGATGGTGATCTACGATTCAATAAATAAGAACAGCCGCATTTCAACACAGGTTATTAATTTCTATTTATTATAAGTACATGTTAGCTTGGATATATATCCGATAGTGTACCGGCTGCATAGTAACCACGCTGTTAGTAACGGTCTGCGATTGTAGAACCATTGAAAGTATTTTTCTTTTTTCTTGCTATCTCATCAAAAAAAAAGAATCATTTCATTTATTTTCGAACTTTGATATTCCTATGTCGTTGAAACAAAATAGCATGGTAAACGCATGCTAGCTCCGTCTTCCGGGTGATTGTGTGATTATATAGTTTTCGTTCAGTAAACACAGATATAAAACTTGAATCAGTATGTAATCAATGTCTCACTTTTCTTTGTTGGTTTCGATTTCTATGACTTTTTGAAGATGATGCGATCATAAAGTTCTATAGGTTTGACTACGGGTGACTGCACTGTATGCCTATCTACGTGAACGACCATCTTGGTTACTTACTATTTGAAATATACTTCAGTTGTACACGAGAACAAAGTCTTCAGGGCTCATTGAATAGACGCTGTTTTACATCGGTTCTTAATAACACACGCAGGGAAAGAAGCAACATACCAAATTACTCTAAGGTAATAATGAGTATAAGAGATATTTGTAACTTACCATGTACAAAAACGCGCAGAATTCTCGCAACATGAGCATGCTTCAGGGAGCATAGAATACGCACTTCTTTCTCAGCTTCTTCGAGTTCCCATGGAAGTTCTAAGTCAACAATTTTTAATGCGACTGCGCGTCCGTTTTCGAGTGCCGAGTACACTCGGGACCCCTGAGATCCCCAGTCTAAAGGAGATAATTAACCGAAATTTTAATTTGACCAAGTTTAGTAAAGCGTGAGTGAAAATTGCCAATGATTTTGTCTTGTATGTTTGAAAGTAACGCATACACATTCATACAAGTGCTGAAATATACAAAAGTAATAGAAATACACATTCAAACCGTACTCACCTAAAAAGCGAAGATTTCCAAATGTCCCTGAAGGGATCATGCCCGAATCATCAAGCAGCATCTCGATTTCGTTTTGTTCCTTTACAGATTTAGTGTCCAGTTCGTCTTCGAGAATTTGACACGGTTGCTTCCTTTTTCTTTTTCTTACCCCTGAAGTCTACTCTCATCGATTGGGTCCTCAGCAATCACCAACGCCGAAAGTTATTACCGTTACGGAATTCAACGTATAGTACCCGCCGGGTAGACAACCGGTATCACAATTGACGGTGATGTTGTTGTCCGCAAGGCGACACCACGGACATCGTCCGGCCCCGGTGTGGTGCCATGCGCGTAGATATACGATATAGAACGTAGATATTCGATTGTATATAGTAGCACTCACTCAGCAGAACTTCTAACAGCAATGAATCCTAGCATCGTGTTCGATTATACCAGCATTCGTCAGTCACACCCCAGTTTTGTTCCTGCTGTTGTTCGCTGTCGTAAATATTGTCGATTACTGAATAAAACCGTGGCGAACTTTAGCTTCTCTATACCGATGATTGTTCCAACGTCTACAACAGTTGTTGCCGGCCGAGCGTAAAGCGCCGTGACCGAATCGATCACGTTATCACTCAGTAACGTGAACGTTGCTCCCCTTTAGGTTGACTCAGATTGCTAAATCGGAATTCTCCCGTTGTGACTATAACGCTTCTCATTCAATTGGAAGTTCACGGAAACGATATGATGTTTTGATCATAACCAGTGAAACCCGTAAAAGCACACTTAATTAAATATAGTAATTTCCTATATAGGCCAGTGTTTAATCATCTATTTGTGTAGTATCAAACTGTTTCCTACGGAACCAATCTCTGCAGCATCGTCGTTCGTCCAAGCATACAAGCCAGATCTGATTAGCCAGAGAGCCAACTGAAGTTAGTATTTCACACTCGAACTATCGCAAGATTGCATCTCGATTTGTACCTCACGCACATCTGTTTCTTATCAATAACTAAGATTAAGCTAACAATATAGAATTGAAATCAGATCCGATTGTCGTTATTCTTTTAGCTGTGATTATTTATCTTGTTTTGTTACTTTGCGACGTTTTTCAACAAACAAGCATCAACTGATTACATCCTATTTACTCTTCTGATATTATCAACACTCTCCCATAAAATCAGCGCTAAATTCGTATCGATTTAAAACGGTCTTTTTTGCTGTTTGGCTAGATACTCACGCATTTATAAACATTTTACCTTATACCATACAATATGCTCTATTTGAAAGGAATACGTCAGTTGATTAGCATGTCCTAGAAATCCTTTTAATCTTTGTTATTTTGGTTCTATGTTTTCTAGTGCTAATGTTATTGAGTTGTTCTATTGTTGTCGGGGTTGTCTACCTAAAGTTTTTCTCCTTCTCCACCGTCCGTAAAGACTCCACTTCAGTCCAGTCCGCACAACACAAAGTTCACGCAGCCGCTTGACTGAAGAAATAGTTCAAAATGAGGGGAGAGAGGCGGCCACGGCGAAATATGGCGGAAGGATTGTCCGGCTATTTCTATCATACTTGTGTATCTATTGACATATGAATGTACGTGTGTGGGTCTTTCTGCCTACATGTGAAACACACATTTACTCTAAAAACAAAACAAAAAGAACGACTCACCCAGCGATCTAAAAGCAGTTGTTTCCACCCACTGACGAGACCGAAGTTCATCATATTGGTTAGTTAGTTAGGTAAGGCACTTGAATGATTTGCTCACCAGATGTGAATGCAAACCTATGTTCGGCAAAACATGGGATTGCAATTTTCATTGATTGTCTGCGCAACCTACGGCGTAGACACTACGGTGAAGGTGTTTAGAATTTTATATCCGGTTGTAATATACCTTTGACAGGGTTGTTGTTTACCGTTGTTTGCTTTGCATATCGAACGCACAAAAATATTCTGTCATCTTGAACGAGGCGTTGTTTAAGAACAGTCTAATTTTTATTGTGTGCTAGACGAAATCATTTCTATATCCTGTGTGATTATGTTTGTGTGCGTGTTTATATATTCGAAGGCATAATACTAGTGACAAGGTCCGAAAGTGAGGGTAGAACAATTGTGAACGATCCTCCTGGCAGCATCCGTAGAAAGTGAGTAGTTTAAACTTATCGTGGTTTAGAATCGTTGGCGCAATCCAATGTCGTTTCACCAGACGACATTAGATACAGATGACTTAACAGTTATAATACTTGATGTTTGAGATACCAATTTTTATAGTGTATATCTAAAAATGTATAGCGCTAAATTCCAGCTCGGTCTATAGACCTGTTATCAAATCTGAGAATACGCGTAGTTTTGCGAGGGTAGAACAAGTGTAGAAAATAAGGTAGAAGAAGTTCGTAAGTAATGCTTTTGAAACCCCAGATAGTAAAATGGTACATGGACTAGAAAATTCAGATGGACTAGAATGCTTTGCACAGTTCAAGCCAAGTTCCGGAACGATAAATTCGCCTGCTTTTATCAGTCTACATTTTCTTCATGTTCGCTGTACCTCACCTCATGTCTAAATCAGATCGGATCTTGCGACTCAAGGCTACTGAGAAGTACACGGTAGCGCTTCAGCTTAGGGTTAGTTAATTTCGCCTGATCTTAAATTTTGTTTTATTTCGAAACGTCAATTCGTATGTGCTACCTATGATAACTTTACAGCAGCTAAAGTTTAAGGTAGCAGATCTCGTGTTTTTTCTTAACAAATAGACAGTCAGAGGTACTGAACATATGTAAAGTTGATATGTTTCACCATAAAGCAAACATGGCCTAATTCTCACTAAGTATGTTTAGGTCTACATATATCAACATATATCTCTTTAATCTTGTTATTTCCAGAAATCCTTTGAGAATGTCGCAGTCGGACCTATCCGGGTCGGAGGCGGTAGCTGCACGAATGCAGGACCGGATGGAGAGACTTCGCGCTCTGCACATGAGAAAGACTGAAGCTTCCAGACTTAATCATCAGGTAAATGACATTACAATTATCTAAGAGCTTTTGAGGTACAGATATAACTAGATTTTACGTGGGAGTTTTTCGCCGCGTTCATTGTAGCCTTTTTATATTTCGCGTACTGCCCAGCGGTCAAGGGAACGAAACATATTATCTGCTACACATCAATGCAAAGCCTGTATTTCAAGTAGCGAGTAGTTATAAAGCAGCTCACATTACTAATGCACCCACATAGAATTCTAGTTACTTATTAATTGTTTATTCTGAGTAGACCATCTGCGAAATATGTGACTCCAAGCTTAAATGTTAAACGCAGGAAATGTGTCTTGGTAGATGTATGAATCTTTTGAATACTTTGAGTTCGAAGTATTTTGAGAACAGGTACTCGTTTTGCTACAGCGTTTGGTACATGCTTCCTTAGTTTATAAAAAAGACAGTTTGTCTTGTAACCTGCAAATATAGCCTGCATTCTAATGTTCGAAACACTTTTATGGCAATCAGTATAATTTGGTTTGCGCTTGTTGACTATTTGTTTCTATAGGAGGTCATTGAGGAGGACCGTCGATCAAAGTTGCCCAAAAACTTTGAAGAGAAGCAGTATTGGGCACAGTATAAACTTGATGAGGAGCAACGGGCTCAAGCAGCTACCGCAAGAGGAGGCGATTATGACGTGTGTTAACAATCGCATGCATGCGATATTTATATCTTTAAAGCTTACATGAGGCCTAAATTTTGGAAATTCAAAATAGTCAATTTGAAATTAATAAATCAAGGTGACAATTTTCACATGTCCTACTGATTCTGTTCGAATTGTTTTGCTTGTAGATTGAAAAGCTACGTAACATTTCAGCTGAGGATGCTGATCGCATGGAGCGAGCTAGGAAACGTAAACAAAACCACGACAAAGGATTCTCGTCGTTTGAAGCTGCGACTGCTCGACAGTACCATTCGCTTGTTGATCAAATTCGACCAGACATGGAAGACTACGAGGCCAAAAAACAGAAAATGGGATCGAATTTTTTCCCTACTTCGAATACAGTTATTCACGGAACCCATCAGGATTCACCGGAAGCTCTTGAGCGGTACGAATATTATTAATATGAAGCTGATCGACTCCTAAGCAAATACACCGTATGGGCACTGCACAATTTAACTTCGAAATACATTCGTCCAAGGGACAAACCTGCAAAGGTCAAATAAATCCTTTCTAGATTTAATTATCAAAAAGGTAATGAAGATGCAAGATACATAGGATAGAGCAGAACATAATCAGGTTGGATGTTTGTCATGGTATGGGATTGTCAATAGTTTTTTTCTTCTCGTACTGTATGCAACAATCAGCTACTATCCATTACCTTCAGGCTAGGTAAAACCTATTGTGATTATAAATGTCCTTGGTTGTCTGAAATAAGCGATTTGCTGCATTGCAGCGTCGTATATATAAAAAAAAAAAAAAAAAAAATAGAAGTAGCTTACTGCAAGGATCCGAAAAATAATTCCGAAAGCATAAATGTCCATCCTTGACGATTCTGGTGGTTTAATGTGAACCTCGACGGCTAAGTTTAACGTCACTGTGAATAAAATGGCTCGAATTGTTTATGCGGTACATGTGTTACGCCAAAAATTAAGAAATAGTCCCTCTGAGGACTATAAACCCAATAATGTCATTTATGATTGGGTTTTCTTAATCATGGAGTAGCAGCAACTTCCGTTTCTTCAGCATGAGCTGTGTTCTATGAGGGACATAATTGCTTACTAGAAAGACGTATCCGTTGTGAAAGGTTATCTGGATGTTCTAAAAACCATGGTGAGACCGTGAATAACTACCGTAAGCTATATAGGTCTTTTCGTAAATAGGCGCATCTACTTATACGATTAGCGCAGGCCTGCATATAGGCAAATGCTAATTGCATCAAACTGCAAAGGGATGTGTATATATAGCTGTACGTAAAAATACTTTCTCCTTTTAATTATCATGGAGCGCATAAAAGAGACATCAGTTCTGTTTAAATTTATCTCGAACGCTTTTCGATTAATTCTTTATGCTGCCTCACGCTGCAGTATCAGAGGGCAATTAAGCATTCGAAGATATTTATCATAGTTAAGATAGAGTTAACCGTAATTCTCATTTACTTGCATTTATTCGTCCTTGCAACAGGTTGTCTAAAGTAACTCATCAAGTAGTAGCAAAGAGGGAAAAATTTTCAAGGAGACGTCGATTCGATCCTGACGCTGATGTAGATTTCATCAACGAGAGGAACCAGCGATTCAACAAGAAACTCGAACGATTCTACAGTGAATATACGAAGGAGACGAAACTCAATCTGGAAAGAGGCACTGCGCTCTAGTTCGTAGAAATAAGTAATTTCATGTCACCTATGTGAACGTGCTGGGTTACATGAGGTTTGATTCAAAGGATTATTTCTATATTTTTTATAATAAATATTAACGAAGATCCGTGCGGCATGTATCTAATTTGACTTTAGGCTACACGGCTAGTTTGACAAATGGAGTATGGTCCACGTCGTTCATTCGACAAAGTTCGATTGAAAACGTCAGCTTCATCAAAATTTAATGAGCATTCGTTGTCGTAACGATGCCAAGAGCCCTTGTGTTATATATATCTGAAAATGCCCTGTATACAGTTAAAAATAAATGTACAGTATGTCATTGACATGAATTACAGCGTTGCCATTTCTTGTAAGTTCGGATTTAGTTCTTAAAGGTGGACGGAATGCTCCGTCCACTAATTCGTAAAGTTTCGTTTAATGCTTGATCATGATGTTGCTTCAATCACAAGTCATGTTCGATGCATTTGCCAACCAATTAGTTGAGGCGATTGCCCATATGTGTGGAACGTAACCTTCATGCTTATATATGTTTAATATTAATAATATAAGTCTCCGACCATTGAAAGCCGGCTGTATCAGAGTTGATGCAGAAGCATTCAATGTATCTATTACCTGCGTCTTTTATCTTCCGCAACCTTCATCGATAACCACAGTTTTGCTGAGTGAAAACACATGGAGAACGTTTTTTTGTTTATTTTGATATAGAGGCTTTATTATTAAATAAATAGCAGATTATTCTCCTGTAACTCATTCTTCATTCCTTCATTGAAAATCGTGGTTAACAACGAAGCACCGCGGTGGTACCACGCACGGTAGGATACCAACCACACTCCACACATGCAACCAGCTGCAGTAATAGCAAGCTCATCATAGAATTGTTTTTATTTTTCTAAACATCATTGAGGTTTTCATCATCATCATCACCATCTTCGATCGGCGTCTTCTACTACTCAATCATTCTACCATACGGGCACTAATAATGTTGCAATCATACGCTGGGTTGCTCAGTTCATGTCGCTGTATTCTATTCCTGCCAAGAATATTTCGCCATACCTAACAGCCCGAAGACGTAGCCTCTAATTGGTCTAGCTCACATGGTTTCTCTTTCGCGCCTGGTTGTTCTGCTACTCTATCCATCCACGTTTCCATAAAATTGAATATTTCGCTCGTTGATGGATGTTTCTTGCTCTGCATTTTTTCTGTTCCGGTGGTGATAATGACGATGATGATTACTCTGTTGCATATTCGCATTTGGTTTGCTCCTGTTGCATTGCTGTTGTGTATTGGTTGTTAATGTATTTGTTTACTTAAGGTTTTTATTACCTCACTTAATTAAATAGGATGCACCACAACATTTGTCAGTCTTCCTAACTTTTGATATTAATATAATATCTTATTATTACTATTAATATTGTTAATTATATTTATAACAGATTCGTTATACATTTCTTCCTTTGTATCGTATCCGTTCGTTTTATCCATGCTGCCGATATTGTTTTCTGTATTGGAGGAAGCAGCATCCTCCATCAAATAATTACTGTTACAATCATCTCAATCGTAATGCTCTATGATTTCACTTTTTGTGGTTATTGTTATTATTACTATTTTTGTAGCACTATAGGACAGTTATGATGAGTCGTGTTCAGCTCTATCGAGCTCTCTCGATTTGATATAATTGTAATATTGTGAAATTATTAATTAACGTAGTATTACTATCCAGCCTTCTACCTTATCTTGTCAACACTATCCTCATTATTCTATTTATCGTTATCCATCATTTTTTCTATAATCATCCTTTGCCTAGCTCTATCACCATCAAACACATAATCAGTTAACGCGTAACATTCATATCCTAAGTAAATTCCTTTTTGTTCCTCCCAACACTCAGACTCATACAGACGCACTTAAATGGAAGGTACTGATCATAGCAGACGAAGAGAAGATGATTAATGATTTATAATAACAAACGTACTGAAAATCACTGCACAGCACAGGTATCGTTAATCAATCAATAACGGATGCCGCCGCTGCCCTTCTGGTTATTATTAATTACTGTTCGTCATACCGTAGTGATTTTTAGTATAAAGCGCACGCACTTGCGATTCATTTTGATAACAAAATACAAAACACGTTGATTGCCTAGAAATGTATGATAAAATATCAAGCCAAGAACAGATGGTTGGGCGTACAACTCACTTATACATAGAAACATAGGTAATATCAGTGTTAGTCGGGTAGAATTATTCATTTTTGGTAGTTACTATCATCAGGTCATTATTATTATGATTGTTGGATCTTTAACGTCGGCAACGGGTTGGAGCGGTGGCGGAAACACCACGTACTACAGGAGGAAGAGCGAAACGGAGCTGTGTATGTGTAA